CTCGTGCTGTTTCCACCCTGTAATGTTCTCACCCGTTCTTTGCACCCACTCACAAGCAGGTGTGGTTCCTGATTCCACTGCCCATTCTCACCATCGCCTTCCACTACGTGCTCATCGACGGAGTGGCTTTTGATTCGACTCAAGAGTCCCCTCCTTACCACCACGTGCTCTCCTTGCTCCTTACTGCTTGCACCCATGCACCTGCAGGTGTGGTTCCTGATTCCACTGCCCATTCTCACCATCGCCTTCCACTACGTGTTCATCAACGGACCCTTCGACTCCAACTTCTCCAAATACGCCCTCGAGGCAAGTGGTGGCGGCACGTAGGGAGGGGCTTTTTTGAATGGATTCAAAGGGATCTCAAAAGTTGGAAATTCATGGTCAGGCATTTCAAATCTCACTTGTCGGTGGCAAGCGGGGATCATGGGTGAGGGACAAGGGAGCATGGCACAGGGAGGAGGGCACAGCTTGCATGGCACAGCGTGCATGGCACAGGGAGGTGTCGCCTGTGAGAATTGAAAAAAAATATTCCATTCCAATACAGAAACACGTGGGGATGATGGGTGAGGGGCAATGGGAGCGTGGCGCAGGGTTCAAGGCAGAGGGAGCATGGGGCACGATTGACCGCACCATCAGCCCTAACCTCCAACCCCTCAACCCATTCCGTTCCCTCTATTCCCTGCCTCTCCCACTTCCTTCTCCCCTGCAGGAGATGAATTTTAAAGTCACGACCGACCGTGCAATCAGCCAGAAACAATCAGCTCCGACCGAGACCCCTCATCCTTCCTTCCCTCCCTCCAACGACATCCCTTCTCTTGAACCCCTTCCTTCCCCCCCGTGCAGGAGGCGAACCGCAAGGACACAATCGACCGCACGATCAGCCCGGACCTGGACCCGTCGTCGTTCCTAGCGCGTGCGTACCTTCACCCGTCCCTGCAGTCCGCCTTTCAGCTCATGGACGAGGAGCAGGACGGGCAGAACGGGGCCGATGGGGGCGAGGGAGAGGGGGGAGATGGAGAGGGCAAGGGGGGTGAGAAGGACGGGAAGCAGAGGAAAAGCGGGGATACGGGGTCAGATGCAGAGAAGGAGACGAAGGGGGTTGCGACAACCCCAGAGAGTAGGAGCAAGGATTCGGAGAAGGGTGGGGAGAGGAGGAGTACGGAGTTGGAGAGAGGGAGGGAGAAGGAACCACAGGTGAAGCTGGTGGCTGTGAAGAGGCATCCTCGCAGCGCACAAGCATCGCCAGCACCAGAGCCGGTGGTAACCGCATTACGAGCGTCGAGCCCTCTACCAGCAGGCACTGCTGAGAGGGCAGCAAGAGGGCTGTCTCCTGTGAGAAGCTCTGCTGCTGCGGCGTTCAGCAGAGACGACAGTACAGACGAGCTGGCGTTTGAAGATGCGCCTGATTTCTCACTTGAGAATTCACCTGAGGCTGATTTGCTGTTGTCAAGTGGGGGGGGAGTGCAGGGGGGGCCTGCGAGAGTGCCATCCCCTGCGACAGCTGGCACGTTGCCGCTGCTGCCGGGGAGAAGCAGGGCTGAAGATGGGGCAAGGTCCTCATTTATTCTATGAGGTGAGAGTTTATCTAAGGAGCAGAGGCAACAAGTACCGGTAGCGGCTAGAGGAGAGGAGATGGCACAATCAGTGCTCAAATACTGGTATGCAACAGCAATAAAGCTCCCCAAGTTCTCAGCATGTGTCAATAATGCAACGGGGCCGAAGTGTTTTGTGTAACATCCTGTTAGGTCACGACAGTGAACAGGTACAGAACGGTAAGATATATTTTAGGCAATTTATTCATTCAGCTCGAATGTCATGGAGACCTGTAGTTGAAATGTACCAATACTAGTACCGTACCATCCATTGATAGACAATGCTGTTGACTCCAGAACTCTCTCTTATAGTGGTAGAGGAACAATGGCCAGGACAGTATGGTGTCTGAACACTCTTACACTCTGGCATGCCTGAAACGTGAGGCGATGGTGTAATTGTGGTACACAGCTTGTGGCATGTACCGTACTCACTAGTAGTGAGTCACTACTATCACTCATATTCAGCTCTCATGTCAACGTGGTGTTCATATCTACATGCCTGCCCTGGGAAGCCATCCCACCATGCACGGTATCGTTTTGAAGTACATGAAGAAAAACCTTACGTCACATCACATTGCACCTTATTGAGGCCTTATTGCACATTCAAGAAAGCTAAAGAATGGAGTGAATTTTTTGAGAGACTCTGCAAGCAGCGTACGTTCAACAGCAGCGTCAGCAGCATGGGCAGCCACATCACGCCACGCCACGCCATGCCACGCACCAGCCTGCCGGCCATCTCGCACACCATGGGCCGTGCGCTGCGCAACAGCTCACCTGCAGAGCTTCAAGTCAACTGCAGCTGCGTCAGGAATCTATGTGAAGTGAAGCCATCGGGACACGCCAAGGAGCACAGATTCAACAGCAGCACTGGCAGCTTCGGCAACCACGCCACGCACCACCCTGCTTGCCATCTGTCGTGCTTGCCATCTGTCGTGCTTGCCATCTGTCGTGCTTGCCATCTGTCGTGCTTGCCATCTGTCGTGCTTGCCATCTGTCGTGCTTGCCATCTGTCGTGCTTGCCATCTGTCGTGCTTGCCATCTGTCGTGCTTGCCATCTGTCGTGCTTGCCATCTGTCGTGCTTGCCATCTGTCGTGCTTGCCATCTGTCGTGCTTGCCATCTGTCGTGCTTGCCATCTGTCGTGCTTGCCATCTGTCGTGCTTGCCATCTGTCGTGCTTGCCATCTGTCGTGCTTGCCATCTGTCGTGCTTGCCATCTGTCGTGCTTGCCATCTGTCGTGCTTGCCATCTGTCGTGCTTGCCATCTGTCGTGCTTGCCATCTGTCGTGCTTGCCATCTGTCGTGCTTGCCATCTGTCGTGCTTGCCATCTGTCGTGCTTGCCATCTGTCGTGCTTGCCATCTGTCGTGCTTGCCATCTGTCGTGCTTGCCATCTGTCGTGCTTGCCATCTGTCGTGCTTGCCATCTGTCGTGCTTGCCATCTGTCGTGCTTGCCATCTGTCGTGCTTGCCATCTGTCGTGCTTGCCATCTGTCGTGCTTGCCATCTGTCGTGCTTGCCATCTGTCGTGCTTGCCATCTGTCGTGCTTGCCATCTGTCGTGCTTGCCATCTGTCGTGCTTGCCATCTGTCGTGCTTGCCATCTGTCGTGCTTGCCATCTGTCGTGCTTGCCATCTGTCGTGCTTGCCATCTGTCGTGCTTGCCATCTGTCGTGCTTGCCATCTGTCGTGCTTGCCATCTGTCGTGCTTGCCATCTGTCGTGCTTGCCATCTGTCGTGCTTGCCATCTGTCGTGCTTGCCATCTGTCGTGCTTGCCATCTGTCGTGCTTGCCATCTGTCGTGCTTGCCATCTGTCGTGCTTGCCATCTGTCGTGCTTGCCATCTGTCGTGCTTGCCATCTGTCGTGCTTGCCATCTGTCGTGCTTGCCATCTGTCGTGCTTGCCATCTGTCGTGCTTGCCATCTGTCGTGCTTGCCATCTGTCGTGCTTGCCATCTGTCGTGCTTGCCATCTGTCGTGCTTGCCATCTGTCGTGCTTGCCATCTGTCGTGCTTGCCATCTGTCGTGCTTGCCATCTGTCGTGCTTGCCATCTGTCGTGCTTGCCATCTGTCGTGCTTGCCATCTGTCGTGCTTGCCATCTGTCGTGCTTGCCATCTGTCGTGCTTGCCATCTGTCGTGCTTGCCATCTGTCGTGCTTGCCATCTGTCGTGCTTGCCATCTGTCGTGCTTGCCATCTGTCGTGCTTGCCATCTGTCGTGCTTGCCATCTGTCGTGCTTGCCATCTGTCGTGCTTGCCATCTGTCGTGCTTGCCATCTGTCGTGCTTGCCATCTGTCGTGCTTGCCATCTGTCGTGCTTGCCATCTGTCGTGCTTGCCATCTGTCGTGCTTGCCATCTGTCGTGCTTGCCATCTGTCGTGCTTGCCATCTGTCGTGCTTGCCATCTGTCGTGCTTGCCATCTGTCGTGCTTGCCATCTGTCGTGCTTGCCATCTGTCGTGCTTGCCATCTGTCGTGCTTGCCATCTGTCGTGCTTGCCATCTGTCGTGCTTGCCATCTGTCGTGCTTGCCATCTGTCGTGCTTGCCATCTGTCGTGCTTGCCATCTGTCGTGCTTGCCATCTGTCGTGCTTGCCATCTGTCGTGCTTGCCATCTGTCGTGCTTGCCATCTGTCGTGCTTGCCATCTGTCGTGCTTGCCATCTGTCGTGCTTGCCATCTGTCGTGCTTGCCATCTGTCGTGCTTGCCATCTGTCGTGCTTGCCATCTGTCGTGCTTGCCATCTGTCGTGCTTGCCATCTGTCGTGCTTGCCATCTGTCGTGCTTGCCATCTGTCGTGCTTGCCATCTGTCGTGCTTGCCATCTGTCGTGCTTGCCATCTGTCGTGCTTGCCATCTGTCGTGCTTGCCATCTGTCGTGCTTGCCATCTGTCGTGCTTGCCATCTGTCGTGCTTGCCATCTGTCGTGCTTGCCATCTGTCGTGCTTGCCATCTGTCGTGCTTGCCATCTGTCGTGCTTGCCATCTGTCGTGCTTGCCATCTGTCGTGCTTGCCATCTGTCGTGCTTGCCATCTGTCGTGCTTGCCATCTGTCGTGCTTGCCATCTGTCGTGCTTGCCATCTGTCGTGCTTGCCATCTGTCGTGCTTGCCATCTGTCGTGCTTGCCATCTGTCGTGCTTGCCATCTGTCGTGCTTGCCATCTGTCGTGCTTGCCATCTGTCGTGCTTGCCATCTGTCGTGCTTGCCATCTGTCGTGCTTGCCATCTGTCGTGCTTGCCATCTGTCGTGCTTGCCATCTGTCGTGCTTGCCATCTGTCGTGCTTGCCATCTGTCGTGCTTGCCATCTGTCGTGCTTGCCATCTGTCGTGCTTGCCATCTGTCGTGCTTGCCATCTGTCGTGCTTGCCATCTGTCGTGCTTGCCATCTGTCCTGCCTGCCATCTGTCCTGCCCGTCCATCTACTTGGAGTGGAGCCAGCGTGACGCGGCCAGAAGCACACTTTCCACAGCAGTGTCAGCAGCATGGGCTGCCACCCCTCGCACCACCCTACCCGCCATCTCCCTGGCCTCCGCCCTGCCTGCTGTCTCCACCAGCAGCGGCACCCACAGCTCCGGTGCGCGCTGCACTGCTGCTGCCAGTGTGCCCAACGGGTCCACAGGAGGTGTCTGGGGGTGGGGATGGGTGGGACACACAGGAGGGGTGGGGAAGAGTCATTTTTTAGAGTTCTCTTCTGGAACACTCTAGAGAATTTTAAAAAATGACGCCTGTGCTTCCAAGGAGAATGCGTAAAAATGCTCGGGAGAGCACGGCCGGGACACGGGTAGAAGAGAGAGACAGGTTGACTATGAAGCGCCTGAAGAGAGAGACAGGTTGACTATGAAGCGCCTGAAGAGAGAGACAGGTTGACTATGAAGCGCCTGAAGAGAGAGACAGGTTGACTATGAAGCGCCTGAAGAGAGAGACAGGTTGACTATGAAGCGCCTGAAGAGAGAGACAGGTTGACTATGAAGCGCCTGAAGAGAGAGACAGGTTGACTATGAAGCGCCTGAAGAGAGAGACAGGTTGACTATGAAGCGCCTGAAGAGAGAGACAGGTTGACTATGAAGCGCCTGAAGAGAGAGACAGGTTGACTATGAAGCGCCTGAAGAGAGAGACAGGTTGACTATGAAGCGCCTGAAGAGAGAGACAGGTTGACTATGAAGCGCCTGAAGAGAGAGACAGGTTGACTATGAAGCGCCTGAAGAGAGAGACAGGTTAACTATGGCGAAAGATGTCCGTCAAGCCACGTGCTCACCTGCTCCTTTCTCCTGCTAGATCTGCTATCCTGTTCCATCCCCGCCTCTCCGGTGTCTCTCCCCTGTGCCATCGCACGGCCTGCTTCTTGCCGTATCCCACCTGCAGCAGACCCACTCACACTGCTACTCCTCGATCCTCCTTCTCCTCCCCTCTCTCCCCTATCCTCCAGCCTCACCTCACCCTCTCCTCCGCTCTCTCCCCTGGCCTCCTCCTTCCTCCCCACATCCTCCTCCGCTCCTTGCTCTTTACGTGAATCCCCAGTCGCCCCAAGCCGCTGCGTCTCCTCCCACTGCTGCCGAAGCAAATCTTCAGTCGAAACAACCCTCTCATCCACCCACCGCTGCCCCGCAGCAACAGCATCAAGCACGAGCCACCCTCGTGTGCGGCTGCCCTCGGGAGACATCACATACGCCAGGAAATCCCCTGCTGCTGCCACCACCGCTGCCTCATCCACCCCCTCCCTCAGCTCATCCCTCTGACCCCCTTTGTGCCGCTCCGCCCCACCACGATCTGCCAAAACCTCCTCCTCCTCCGCTGAAGCGTGTGATACATTCCTCTGCTCGGGCTCTCTTGGAGGGGATGGCTTCGAGAGGACGGACGCCTGGAGTGGAATTCATGGTGGTGCGGAGGCGGCGGGTGTGGCGTGATACGGTTTGATACATCTCAGAAGCGACGTAATGTGCCCCGGTACAACAGAGGTGACTTTTGGATCGACTCAACCTTGCCTTGAGGAGTCTCAAAAGTCGGCCATGTGAACGGAACGGAGTGATGTGTGCCAAGTCAGCAGTTCAAACACGTGAGGTCCCACGGAGAGATGTGCGCAGCTCTGAGTCGGCTCAAAACTTGTCTGTGCCGGTGACCTGCAGTGGTACTCACCTGTCTCACGCTCACGCTTTTGAGTCGACTCAGAAGCTGACCTGTGGTGGTGCTCACATGTATCACGCTCACCACTCGCTGCATCCCAATATGGGTGAGTTTATGCATCTCATTCAATCTCACCAGTCGCTGTAGACGCTGCCAGCGAATGGCACCCGAGGGCCAGAGCAGCATCTGGCGCAGAATGGTGCGCATGGCCGGTGAGCAGCATCTGGCAGTGCTTTCTCTGTGCCCTTGCTCATGTTCAGTGCTCACCAGGTTGTGACGGTGCGCTTAAAGCTTACCAGTCGCTGCAGGCGCTGCCAGCGGATTGCCCCCGAGGGCCAGAGCAGCATCTGGCGCAGAATGGCTCGCATGTCCGGTGAGGGGTCTGAGAGGAGCCGCGCTATAATGAAGGGGTATGCTGTTGCCACCACCTGGTTGGGAATGATAGAGAAAAGGAAGAAACAACAGTAAGGAGAGGTATGATGAAGGGAGGGGTCTGAGAGCAGCTGCGCTATGATGAAGGGATAGGCCGTTGCCACCACCTGGTGAAGCGGGAGGGGAGAGAGTGCAGGTGGGTGAGAGGCGGGGTGAGGACAGAGAGGAGGGAGGGGTCTGAGAGGAGACGAGCTATGATGAAGGGGTATGCTGTTGCCACCACCTGGTGAAGGGGGGGGGGAGAGTGCAGGTGGTTGATGTCAGATTTGAGCTTGAACTGATCAATTAGTAATGAGCTCAAAGCTCTAGGTACAAACGAAATGAGAAAGGAATGGATGAGGAGGGAATATGGGGTAATTCTAAGGGTATCAAGGGCAATCCCGAGGCAATCTCCAATTGGTGGGTTGGAGATTGCTTGGAGATCACATTTGGGTTTGGTTGGGATGTGGGTGTACACCCAACCAAACACAAAGTGCAATCTACACTACACTAGGATACTAACGTACAAATACAAAGGCTGAGATTGACGTCTAGCTTTTACAGTTGAGGGATGGGGTGAGGAAGGAAAGGAAATGAGGGGTCTGAGAGCAGACACGCTATGATGAACCGTGAACGGGTATGCTGTGGTATGTTGAAACGAGCAAGCCCAGGGGACAGCAGGGCATGTCGAGACTAACTTGACCTTGGAATCGGACATGGATTCTGTGCCTTCACCTTTTAAGACAACTCAAGAACGGACCTTGAAGTTGGGATCGAGTGTCGTTGCTGTGCCTTCCAGGGAGCCCAGCGCACGCACAACGAGCGAGAGGTGTGGCGGCAGGCTGAATCGGAAGCGGTACATCACTGATGAGAGACGCAGGATGACCCCCTGGCGTGCGGGGGATGGGAGAAGAAGCGAGTGTGCAGAGAAGGTGATGGGGAAAGAGGTTGTGATGAAAAGGACAAGGCTGAAGCGGAAGCGGTACATGACTGATGAGAGACGCAGGACGACCCCCTGGCGTGGAGGGGAGAGGGAGAAAGGTGGGGAGAAAAAGGACATGTGATGTGATGTGGGGAACAGAGAAGATGCGAGAGGTGTGGCGGCAGGCTGAAGCGGAAACGGTACTCGACTGATGAGAGACGCAGGATGACCCCCTGTGGGGGGGAAGGGGACGGGGAAAGGCGTGGTGATAAGGGATAAAAGGCTTACTCGTAAGCGATGTCGGGGAAAGAATGGGATGGGGAGAGACATGGGAGAGGCAAGTGAGAGGCGAGGGTGCAGTGGAGGGGACGAGGTGGCAATGAAAGGAACCAAGATGTTGTGGAATCGGTGCATAAGTGAGCAGAGCGATGGGGAAAGAGGTGTGGACCAAAAGGGCAAGGAAGCATTGAAAGTGATACATCCTTCGCTTGGAAAAGGTGAGGAGAGACGAGAGTGCACTAGAGGGGACGAGGAGAGGCAAAAGTGCAGTGGTGGGGACAAGGTGGGGAGGGGAGAGCGTCGCACCTGAAAGTCCATGCCGCTTGTGCTGCCATCACCATGCCTCTCCCCCCTCCTCGGCCCCTCCTCACGGAACACCTCTGCGAGCGCAGCAGCAACGGGAGCCACGTCTGCCTGTGGCGGAATGAAGTGGAGCGCTCGAAAGTCTTGCGCCAGACCCTGGGCGTCGCGGTTAACGTAGTGCACCACCTGAGGGAAAGACAGAGAGGGTTGCAGAATGTCAAGGGCTGGGAAGGGGCCTCGAGTCGAGAGGAATGCAGCCCACCACGAACGGCGCGTGCCGGAGAGGAATGCAGCCCACCACGAACGGCGCGTGCCGGAGAGGAATGCAGCCCACCACGAACGGCGCGTGCCGGAGAGGAATGCAGCCCACCACGAACGGCGCGTGCCGGACTGCGAGCTGGTTTTTGAGAATTCTCAAAAACCACGCCGTTGACCATGGGCGATGGAGGGGAAAGAGGTAAGTGCAGGGGAGAAGAAGAATGTTGGCATTGACCTGACAGTACAGACTGGTTTCGATTCTGCCTAGAGAAACGGGCATTTGACTTGACAGTGGAGGGTGTACAGACTTGTTTCAAACTGGCTCTCTAAGAAACACTAAATCGTTCACTTAACCAGGCCCCCTCCACTCACCTGAACCGTGGGGTTTGTCTGTGTCGTTGTCCCAAAAAGCACACGAGTTGATGGGAGTAAGGCATCCATCCACCACAGCCCACCTGACCTCCAGAGGAATGGATTGGTCCTCTCACGAGTGGAGGGTGTACAACGCAAAGAGCTATGTTACTGGAGAGCTCTGTTATGATTGGGTTGGACCACTCACCGCGCGGATGATGCTGATTCGCTGCTGAGGTGGCAGCTCGCCCATCATGCCAAAGTCAAAGTACGCCAGCTGGCCGCCACGTGTCACCACCAGATTGCCCGGGTGCGGGTCCGCGTGGAAGAATCCCTCCTCCAGCAGCTGGCGCAGCGAGCAGAGCACTCCCTGGTGAGGGGGAGGCGGGGTGAGGATGGTAGGGTGGGGGGGAAGGAAACGGGGACAGGAGATGGGGAAGAAGTGTGCGGGTCCGCGTGGAAAAGGCCCTCCTCCTGCAGCTGGCGCAGCGAGCAGAGCACTCCCTGGTGAGGGTGGGGGAAGAGGGGATGGGGGAAGGGGTAGGGGGGATCACACAACAGTCAGGGTGGCAGGGACGGGGCTGAAGAAGCCCTCCTCCTGCAGCTGGCGCAGTGTGCAGGGAACTCCCTAGTGGGAGGGGTGGAGGGGATGGTGGGGGAGGTCGAAATGGAGGTTGGGAAAGAGAACGGGGGGTCCGAGGGCGTGGAGAGGGGGGAAGTGGGGGCGATATGAAAAAGGCCTCTTCAATCAGCTGGCGCAGCGAACAGAGCACTCCCTGGTGTGTGTGGGGGAAATGCCACGTGTCACATCACATGTCACATGTCAGATGTCAGTCACACGTCACATGTCACATGTCAAATGTCAAACATCTCATGTCTCATGATGCCTCACGCCTCACGCCTCATGCCTCACGCCTCAGGTGACACGGCATGGTACCCACCAGGTCCACAACGAACTGTGTGTTGAGGCCGGCTTGCAGCAGCCCTGCACGGTCCGTGAGCTTGATGCCATCAATCCACTGCACCATGGCACACAGGACAGGAGGTAGAGTGGAGGAGGGGCAGTCCAGGAGGGGCAGTGAAGATCTGTGGGCTTACTGTTATTGATCCGCTGATGCACAGGAAAGAGAAGTATAGTGGAGTTGCCTTTGTGACTTGACAGGTCCCACCAATAGCGGATGTGTAGCAACAGGGGTGTACAAAAGGGAGGCGAAAAACATGGCAAGTGGTTACTTCTGAGAATACTGAAATTAGATACAAGCAGAGGATATACACAATAGGGAGGACACAACACATAGAACGCACTGTGTGCAACACAGTACGGAGCAGGTTGGTTGGTACAAAAACAGTGAGAACCAGATTGAGAATTCTCAAAAAGCAGGATGGGTGGTGCAATGATAACTAGAAAAGCTTGAAATGTAACGTAACGGAGGAGAGAGGAGGGGAGGAACTGAGCAAAGTCACTTCGCAAACAAGCTTCCAAATGAAAACAGAAAGGAATCCACTGGGATAATCCCAATCATGTCTCGGAATAAGCAACGAGTTGAGTATGAACTCGAAATCTTCAGATCTCCCACCCACTCACGGGTTCTGAAATCGAAAATTCACCTATTCTTGGGTAAAACGTTTCTGAGGCGCCTCAAAAACAGTCTTTTGGAGCAAACCGCTATCTTTTGAGAAGTCTGGAAAGAATATCACCTCCATAGTGAGCACGCGACGACTAGAGTACTCCCAGAAGATTCTTGGAACCTTCACAAGGCCACGGCGCGTGCCCTGGGAGGATTTGGATTGCCCTGGAAGCCAGAGGTAAGGCAAGAGCGCACGGACAACAACAAGGTTAGTCGATGCAGGCGAGCGAGAGGTCTTTGGATTGGACGGCAAGACACGGCATGGGATGGCATGGCAAGTAACGGAAGATAATGGCACGGTAGGGTAAAAGTAGACGAATGAAATGAGGGGCGATGCAGAGAAACCAAACAAAGAGCACACTGGAGGAACCTTGGATTGTTCGGAGCAATATCAACGATAGTCCATTCTTGGAAGCAATTAGCCTTTGTTACGGGATAAAACACCCCCCCGTAATTGTACACCCTTTGTTACAGGGCAGGAAGTGCTGCCAACCAAGGGGTAACGGCACGGCCGGCACCTTGATCGGCGGGCCGGTACCGGTGGTCGCCATAGAGCGCCTGGAATCGCTCTGCATTGCGCCCCTCCTGCTCATAGTCCACCTCGTCAAACATGCGACACACCTGGGATGGGGGGAAAGGCAATGGGTAGGTGGGACACTTGTAAGCTGCAGCATAGTGCCACCCCACATTACCCCGCATCGCCCCCCTCCTGCTGATAGTTCACCGCCTCATCAAACATGCGACACACCTGGGGGGCAGGGCAGTGGGTGCATGGGATGCTTTTAAGCTGCGGCATAGCTCCACATTGTATTAAACCCCTCTCCTGCATTGACTATTGAGACGTCTCGAAAAGCTCTGCGAAGCTGCTGCATAACCGCTCACCAGACCCCCGTCCATGATTGCTCACCAAAAAGCGTGCTCACAGTGCCCCCTGTGCTCCTAGTCCGCTCAATCAGTTTGTGAAAGAGCGAGTGAAACCAACCCGGCCTGGATCGCCCGACCTGACAAAACAAGAACCCGGCCAGCTCAGCTCACGGCGTTTGTCCGTATTCTCACCAGCTGGTCGGCGATGGCAACGAGATCGGATCTGCCGTGCACGAGGGGCTGCAGCAGCGCTGCCACGCGGCGCACCACGAGGGAATCCAGGGCGATCTGCTGCTGCACTGCTGGCCGTTGGATCTTCACTGCCACCCACTCGCCCAAGCGGAGACGGGCTGAGAGGGGAGGGTGGAGGGAAGAAAGAAAGGAGGGAAGGGAAGAGGAATGCGCGAGTCCGGGAAGGTCTGCTCTGCTGCTGCGCTGCTGGCCGTTGGATCTTCTCCGCCTCCCACTCGCCTGAGCACAGGCGAGCTGGAGAGATGGTGGAGGGACGAGCAGCAGAAAGGGGGGAGGAGAAAGGAGAGAGGCGAGAGGGATTAGGGCGATCTGCTGCTCCACTGCTGGCCGTTGGATTGAAGCTTCACTGCCACCCACTAGCCTGAGCAGAGACGTCCTGGGGGGGACAAGCGGAGAGCGAAGAGGAGAGAAGAGAGAAGGAGCCGCGCTGAACTTTGAGAGCCAGACAAGAGCTGCTTACAAAAGACAACCTTCCATCCCGTCCTACCTCCACTCCACACATCCCCCATATCAGAAAGCCCAGAATCAGACATGCAGAACACTTCCTTACACTCCCTTACACCCCCTTACTCCCTCTCCTACCTCTGCAAACCCCTTCACACCCTCTCGTACCTTTGTACACCTGTCCCAGCGACGCAGCGGCCACAGGGGCCAGGCTGAACTCGGCAAACAGCTCACTGGGCGGCACTCCCAGCTCACGCTGCACTGTAGCAAGCGCCACGTGGCAGGGGAAGGGCGCCATGCGGTCCTGCAGCAGCGCCAGCTCAGCGCAGTACTCGGGCGGCAGGATGTCGGGGCGCGTGCTGAGCGCCTGCCCCAGCTGTTGGGGGGGGGGAGAGGGGGGAGGGTTAGGGGGGGGGGGGGGGGGAGGGGGGTGTTTGCCAAATCACAAGTCTGTAGTGTTGGGCCTGCCCAGACAAATATTGGGCATCAACAATAGACAACTTATTTTACAATCTAAGCAATTATCTCATTTATAACGTGTCAAAGGGTCTGACGCTTTTCTATAACGTTTCCATTAAGTCTTCTCTCAATAATTCTCTGGGTCTGGCGCACATACCTTGACGTAGAAGGGGCCGAGGCGAACAAGAGACTCCCTGAACTGACGGGGGAAGGGAGGGAGACGAGCAGAGAGACAATGAGCATGGGGGGATGGAGGCGCATGGGCGACGGGGGGGGTATGGATGGACGGCATTGTCCAGTGCCTTCAATGCCTTTAATGCAGAATGCAGTTTCCACACTCCCTCCTTTTAGTCAGCACACTCTCGCATCCGAATCTTCCTACGCACCTTCCTAGCGCGCACTCTCACGTCCGCCACCGTCTGTTTCCGCCACCACATGCGCCCCAGCTCCGCTATAGTCACACCCGTGCGCCTCGCTACTGTCACGGGCCGCCATCTGTACTCCGCCGCGATCGCCTGAGGATCGTATCTCAGCCGTCCGCTCCCTGACGGGGCGTCAGATATATGGACAGATCCTGTTTGCGTGCCATTCGAGAGAGGTGTTACCTGAGTGGCCTGGCGGGGAGGGGGAGGCGGCACCTGATGGTGGGGGCTACCTGCCGGCGAGTCGTGATTCGCTTGGGTGCTCGCGGGGAGAGGTACGGGGAGGCGTGTGCGCGTGTGCGTGTGTGGAACAGCGGGCGAATAACGTGGAAGCCACGACGCGTTGAGTGCGTGATGCGGGAGTGTATGATGTGGGGGTGTGTTGTGAGGGCGGCACACTCTTGCGATGTGGGCGCGCGGACGCAACATGTGGAGGATCGAAGGCGTTTCTGAAGGGTATGGTGATGGGAGGATCCATGGGCGGAAAGGGATCGCCGCCGCGACGCCGAGCGCTGAGGTTGGCGGGACAATAAGGGGCAACGGACGCGGCGTGCAAAGTACGCTTGAAACGAGAGAGGTGCTCGAGGGTGAAAGTAATGATTGTGATAGTGACGGTGGAAACAGGTCAGCGGAGAGACGAATTGCCTTATATCGGCCTCGTTCTTTGAGTCTTGCAGCCGTGAGTCGGCCAACGCGCCCAACCATGTCCAGCTCTCTCCTAACGAGACTATTTCGCGGGCTGCCCTCTTCCGCTTTAGCAGCGAACTAGCTCAGGTGCGCGATCGCTGATATTCGCACGAACGGCAGCTCCATGGCACCTTGATCGCGGACATGCTGGGATTGCAGCAGTCGATGTACAGATAGCGCAGAAACTGAAACTGCTATCATAGGGGTGAAAGGGATTGTTGTGTGTGATCGGTTTGTTAGAGCGGTCCAGCACGTTAAATAGTTCTGAAGACCGGTTCCAGTACTTTACTGAGAGTTTGACCTGCGTTTATTCTCAACCACACAAATCTGGTGCATGATGCGTGGTGTCGAGGTGGTACAAGAGGGGAGCCGTTTATTACCGTGTCGAAGCTCACTGAACCAGTCTGGACAATGTGCGGAACAATGCACAGAAAAGTACAGCTCCCATCCAACAAGAAAGATACGAACGAAACCCTTCGAGAATAGCCTCGATGTGTAGCGAGTTTGACGTTCACTCTGTAACGGGGTTTTGCCCCTGAACCCAAAACCTTGGCTTCAGCAATTTGCGGCAGGACTCAAGGGTTCCTGACAAAGACGACTCGGTGGAGAAATTATCCAATAAAAGTGCACCACGCGCAACAGTTGTCCTGTCACAGCCACGCAAATTCAGCTCCACCATCAACACCACCATTCGCTAGCGATGATCACCCCCCCTTCAGAGAGGACGTTGAAGGCGTGTAGTGTAGTCCATTCTGATGCGGTTTAGTGGGATGCTTTGGCCAGTAACCACGGTACGAATGAATCACTAACGGTTTAGTATATGATCGAAACAGGACCATCATGACACAAACACCCTTCCCTTGCTTTTTGGTTCACGGGTGGGATGGTGTAATCTGACACCACATTCCGGTAATTTCGAGGTGGATCCTCCAGCAATGAAAAAGGACGATGTCACGTCGTTTTCCCGCCAAAAAGTGGCCTTGGGCCTCCACCCCACACAGCCTTTGTCCACACACCAGGAAAAAACCCCACCCTCCTGTGTGTGTTGGTTGGTTAGTCCTTTCTGGCAGCTATTTACTCTTGTTGCTGCCTTGCTTTCGCGTCCTTGCTCCTACCATTGAGCTTTATAGGAGCTCACGCGCATAGACGGGTTTCACGAACCCGCGTAGCTTCCGCTGCAGCGATCAGGTGAACGGTAACACTGTAACGTTCACCCTGTAC